ACTTCTATAATCAATTTAGCTAAAAAAAATTCAATTTGCTTCTCTGTCTCTGCAAGATCCAGCAATGCAGTTGCTGGTCAAGCCTTCGCTGCGGCAACTGCTGGCGTTCCAACTTGGCCGCCGGTCCTGTTGTTTGGAGTAGAAGCCTGTAAACAACATCGCGATATCATAGCCGCCAGTATTCAGAGACCCTCTCGACGAGATATACCCGGTGCCTCAGGAGGCGAGGTTCAGGGTGTAAGTCATTCGACCAAAAGCTTAGCACCAATTGGAGTCTGTCTGGAGTCCAGAGTCTCTGGAGCCGTTGGCGGAGATGCCAATGTTGGTGCTGATGCGATTGACACTAGCCAGGATAACGTTGGTCTGCCTCCGCCTACTCATCCTACAGCTGGACTAAAGAACACAACTGTGACGTCGGGGCCAGCATCGCAAGCCGCTCCAATAGTCGCCATGGGGAGACCAGCATCGTTGTCACCAACGCTCAAAATCGGGCCTGATTTGGCAAAAGAAGTGACCACTTCTGGTGGGACAAGAGCCCGCCAGTCGGGCGGACGGTCGCGAACTGCCATTTGGCAGACAACGGGAATGCAACAACCGCCGCCTCCGTCTCCTCCTCCAGACCATGGCGCTAGTTCGTCTGTTAGATCGCCGGGTCCCTCCTCTTGCATGTCCAGCCTTGCTCCTGGAAGAATGCTTCCGCAGAGTCCTCCGGATGCTTCTTCCATGCTCCTTGGATCTCCTGCAGCAGACGGCCTGTGCAGTTCTTCCACTCTGCCCTTCCAAGCAAGCACAGGGTCTCCTCCTCCTCTGCCGATTTCATCCGTCGCCTCAGGAAGTGGACCTCCCACCTTGTGGATGCAATACCAGCGGCCTAGTGGCCTAATTGCCAAGTTTCCACCGCCTGGACAACAAGCACATGTGACCTTTACAATGCTCCATCAACCGAGGCCGACTCTGAACCTGGGTTCGAATAAAAAGGTCAATGTGATGGCTGCGATCTCCTGCATGCGAGTGTTCAATGTCGTCCGACACTGGATCACCAAGTTTCCGGGGGTACGTTATTACTTTTTATCACTTCACTCGGGAGCATAAAAGTTGCGCATAGAAAGAGTAATTGCTTTTCGATCTGTCTTCTGATAAATTCGGGCAAAAGGTTGAATTAAGAGATTCGATCAACGATCTCAGCAGAAGATGTCTACTTCACTTAGACTTTACTGATTAGTTCGGGCTGACACATTAGTCGGTTCCGGTGAAATCGCAAATGGCTTTAATTCGTTTGTAAGTAAGGTCTTTGTCAGTAGTGCTGCTCGGCAGACATCAGTACAACTGGGCCGAGTCAAGGAAACTAACCCGCTTACCTCCGTCTTCCAGTAACTAGATGCTCAAACAAACATGAATTTTCCTAAAGCTACAAGTATTAGTAATATGAGATGTATTCACCCATTTTCGTTTAAGGTGATGAAGGACTGGTAGAAGAAAAATTTTCGCACAATGATATGAGTTGAGCTGACGTTTCCATTAGATTTCACATAGCCTTGCCTTGCCAAAAGTTGTTAAAGCAGATGGCGCTTGGATGAGAACAACTTTTGGGAAAGCAACGCTATGTGAAATTCAATGGAAACGTCAGCTCAACTCATATTATTGTGGTAAGATTCTTCTTCTACCATTCCTTCATCATCTTAAACGAAATAGGGTGAATACAATTCATATTACTGATTTACTGGTAGTCCCCAAAACTACTTAATTCGAAAAATAAAGTATAGTAGTCGATTGTTATAGCCGATATACGTTTGCTTCATCGACAATTCTACCAAAAGAATATGATATGGCAAAAAAGCCTGGCCTTCCTAGAAAATTCACTTTTGCCCTGTGACCCAAAAGTCGCTCGTGGCAGTGTAGCCGATTGGTTAACGTGTCAAGCTCCCATCCTGCACTGTCAAGGTTCGACTCCCGCTGAGGGTGTTGATAAAACCGATGCGAGGTCGAAACTGCAGTCGACTTCTGCCTGGATGAGAACAACTTTTGGGTAAGCAAGCCTATGTGAAATTCAATGGAAACGTCAGCTCAACTCATCACCTTAAACGAAATTGGTTGAATACATCTCATATTATTGATTTACTGGTATTCACGAAAACAATACTTAATTCGAAAAATACAATTATTAGGTTAGTTAATCTTCATTTCTATCTATATGCGTATTTTCATGTTGTCGTGACAACTTGTGAGTATGAGTGTAGGTATGCGCACAAGTATGAAACTATCAGGGATAATTCCAAGTAATCAAATCAAAGCACAGCATTCATTTTTAATGAGTTCTTTTAGCGAAGGCAACATATTACTACATTTGCATAATACCGGACGTCTGTTTTATTGAGTTGATAAATGTCCTGTGTTAATTCAGATTCATAGAAAATATGTGGCGGGATAGTGTTGTTTTACCTAAACGATATAAAAGGTCCCACTATGCTAGGAAATTGCAATTGGCTTTTACTTGCAAAAGTTTTTTTTAATCCGAGTGGACTCCCTTTGTGGTCTCGCCCACGTCTCGTTAGCACCTTCGAAGGGACTCGAAATGAGAATACCTTATTGAATGCAAAGTAAAATTTGCATATTAATATAATTGTGAGGAAATTTAAATATCATTCAGTTATTACCTTATGCGATCTAAACTGAACATAGTTCTTATGCATTTTCTTTTACTAAATAAATTTCCAATATGTTAATTTTTATCAAATTACTTATTTTGCGCTTATTGATTGGAAAATCGTAATTAGCAAATCGAGGAATATATCTTCTTTCCATGTACTTTGCAATTTCTGATATCAGAACCAAACATCTTCTATAGGCATCATTGTATAGCTATCCTTCAGTAAATGTGACTACAGGTTTTCTTAAAGCAAAGGATGACCGCATTAGCAAAGGTTATCATTCCTCCAAATGTGTGCATACAAAAAGGAAATATTAAAGTAATAGATCAAATCAAAATCAGAGCATGAGGTATGACTTTAGACTCTCTATCTTGTCCAAACAAGATCGAATCGCAAATTTTTTTTCTATTTAACAGATACTATCTTGAACCGGAACTAGAAGTGTTCTAATTATTTTGACGTAATAGGTTTTTAAGCCTAACTGACTCTCTATCTCGATTATTTTTAATTTCTAGTCTCTTCGTCCTAATAAGCATTAATTGCACTATTTTATTCTTTTAGATTAAACTATGTCTAGAGAGATAAAAATTAAAGTTACTCACACAAATGTTTAATTCTAAAGACTATATTTGTTAAATTATCATCTTTCCTAATGGTCAGAGCACCCAAAGATCTTAAACCATTATTATTCCAGTATTCTATTGTTGATTTAATTTGTTGTAAACTTGCTGGAAAATGGTAGTTTTGGATCAAAACAATTCCTACCTTAGGCGTTTCTAAAATTTCGCCTTTGAATTATTGGCCCAAATGCAAATAATGCTTTTCCCCGATTGAAAAGATTTTATTAAAACCTCATGATCAGACACGGTTGCTTCATTCTGTCAAAAATACTCTTAATTACCATTATTGGTTTCATACCCACTAGAATATACATGTTCATGTTCACTCAAATAGGTATAAGCATGTGATGGCTCAAATAGATGAGAATGAATTCTGACGAAATGTTTAAATATCTCCAAAAAATTATGTCAGATGGAAGGTTCATTGCATGCAGAGATTAGCCGGTTACTTTTCTTAGCTATGTTTTTGCATTGATTTAGTGTAATAATTAAGTCTAGCTCCTATTAGATCTATTATATCATATGACAACCAAACTCTCAGTTCATCCTCACCTGAATAAAATTGAGGTGACTTTAGCACTCAGTCTGTCTAAAAGTCGCAGTGCAGTGGTGAATCTTCATTGGGATCTGGTCATCATAAAATTTTATATGAAATGAGAATCAAATTAAATGCTAACAAATCTTCGCGAGGTATCTCAACTCATGAAGCCTAATATTTTAGCGCAAAGCCAATAGCCAATAGTCGTGAATTTCTTAAGAAAACTATTTTTTTTTAATTTTAAGGTAAGTTTTAATTGGGGCGACTATTTAATCTGATTAAAAGGTTATATGCTCAAAGTAATGTCTTGGCTTCCTCTGCATTTTAACATGATCCGGAACTTCGAAATCCTTATTCTTTACTTTGTAATTGCTTTTCAATGCAGATTCTCTTTGTGTCGCTGCATATTGATTGAGCTTTAATCCTCAGCCTTCGAGCCATATCGGTTTGCGGGGCTCCAAATAAATAGATAAACAATAGCATATCTTAACTATTTATTTTTAAATTTCACGGAAAGTTATTTGCTTGAATCTTCCCTTAATGCATTACTTATTAGGTATCTAGTGGATACCTCATATCGAGGTAAAATAATATCACAAAAATAATAAGTTTATTTATAATTTTTAATTAAAATTCGACTAATTTCCATTGCAAATATAGGCAAAAGTATTTTCTATTTTTTTCAAAAT